AGTGGATGCGGTGTCAGGTCATCAAATTAAAAGTTGGGGGTTCAGTTACCGCAAGAACTTTTTTGCTGCAAATTTCTTCCCTATATGCTAGTTTTTTGATGTAACTGAAAAAATCATCAGTTCGTTCTTCCGATCGAGTTTTCCTCCGCATCTTCAATCCGTAAAATTGATTTTTACTTAATAAAGTACTATGTCAGTTTTTAACACATAAACCTAACAGTATTCTGCGAATTCTGATAATTCCTTATTTGTTCAATGTGGGTTCACTAGTGTTGTCCTCAGCATTCTGAGTCTGTAAAGTAAAGTTATTGATCGTGCAGTTTTTTCTGTGAATGTTTTTTTTTCTGTAGTTTTTAAATCTGTTCTCATCGTTTCATTGCCATTTAACAAGAGTGGGACCACTCTAAACGCTAGCTTCCCACATAATAACATCAAGAAATCGTCTGTGGAAATCGAGCCTGTGACGTTTATATTGAAAGCAATATTTTGCAACTTGTTCTATATCGTCAGTATAATGACTAGCCCATCAGAAAAGGTCAACTTCAGGATCAGAAGTCGTTTTTAAGTCGCCATCATCAAAGACCCTCCAAGTCGTCTTTTCTTGTGAGCGAAGCCATTTTTGCTTCACAATTGCAACGAATAATGATTTGTTGGCGAGATCTTGATCGCTTAACTCTAAATGAGCTGTGTTTTTTAATTCGATCGTTTCTTTTTTTTTAAGTTGGATTCATTCGTCTACGTTGACTCTTTTGGAGTTTTATTAAGATGAGCATTGCAACTGAATATTTACAGGCGGACTGGTTGATATTGTTGTTTTAATGGGTGAGAACCCTATGGTGAGACTTTATCAAATGATAATTTTTTAAATCATGCTCCGTTACAGTGGATGAACAGATCATTTTCTGAGGTAGTTTTGTTTGTGGAATTCCGATATTGAACTTGTTCTTTTTGCACCGTAGGGGAACTCTGATTGCAGTATCGGATTCAGCACATCCGTTTTCAAAGAACCATTCTTATTTATCAACTTCTGTCTTCATCAGTTTGTTAATAATTTTTCTCAAAAAAATTAAGAAACGGACAAAAAGATAGCCTACCATTTGACGTTGATTTCTTTTTTGAACTCGTCTGCATTTTTAGGCATAATCACCTATCGTGAAACCCACTTACAGTAATGTAAATAAGTCTGTCGGTAATGTAAAAATCGTGTTGGACTGCGCAATGAGAAAGCTTCGTTTCTTCTTATCGCACGACAAGTATCGACAACTTATTTATCGTTGTACTTAAAGATGAATTGAAACTAACGCTGGGAAAATGACAATGCGTAACGATAATTTTTTAAGATACCGTTTGAAAAGAAAAACCGGCTTAATTGAATTTTTTAGATCATTTGTTTCCTTGGTGATGATATGGAACCGTTTAAGTCGGTTAGCGCTTTTCGATAGAAATGTCGAGCCTCTTAAAATGTTTATCTGCTATTCTGTGAAATTTAACCGTCAAAATCGATTATTGATATTTGATGGAAACATTTAGCCTCTCAAATTGATATCCTCTTTTCTCAGCCAATAATATTGTCGAACTTATTTCAGCTGAACCTATTGAATCGGTTATCTTTTTTCCAAACTTTCTTAATCTTGTTATTTATAAATGATGATTGAAAGGTTTCATTGGAGGTTTCATTTTCATTGAAAGGTTTCATTTTCATTGAAAGGTCGGTGCATTGAAATGATAAACATTTCTGTTGTTGGATAGTGTGGAAGCGCTAGACCTGGGCCCAAGTTACTGGTAATGCCGACTGGTGTAGAAGAAATACTTCATGAAGTCTTTGAAATTTTTCAGAATGTAAATGGTTTTGTAAGGATTATGAGTTTTGTAACTGAATTTTCGCCCTCTCAACGGAGAGCTTTGGGGAAGTGTTCATGTAAAAGAAGAAAAGTATTGGACGCAATAGAGCCTTGGGGAAAACCAAATCTGTCTCTGAATAAACCATGTTCAACAGCAGCACACTGTGTACGGCCCATAGAGAAGTTTGCGGCATAAATTATCACAATATAATAGATTATCACATTATAATATTATGCTGCTATAATTCTTGAACTATCTTTTTATGGAAGCTCTTATCGAACTTCGCGAAACCAAGATATAACATTTCTGTACATAAGTTTGGATTCATAATATTTCGGAATTGAGATGAAGGCGTTAAAAGCAATCGATAATGTGACGATTTTTTGAATCTGAATCCGAATGAAGAGTCTGAGATGAATGAATATTTATCAACATCAAGAAGAACTCTTGATGATTAATTCCATGAGTTTGCACACGTTGTTTTTGCGAGGTATTGGTCTACTATTTGTAATGTTTTCACGTCCTCCATTTTATGCGTTGGAACACAAGCAGGTTTTTTTGTCCATTTCATCAGTGACAAAGAAACTTTATAAATTAAAGACACCGAATGTCTAAAAGCAAGGAAAAGTGCCGATAGAAACAGTGTCTTATCTTGATTAGTTTGAGTGCCGATCAAAATACTTGACGACAGTTTCAAATTTGCAGACATGAATAACTGATAAAAATAAAAACATGCACAGTTACAAGATTGTTCATATGATATCTGAGTACCAGATTTTGAAAAGACAATAATAATGTCGGCGTTAATAAATTGTAAGTTTCTCGATGGAGTATGGAAGCATTCCGAAAGAACTCTTCCAGCAGCACTATTTCAGAAAACATACTGCATTTAAACTCGAAGACGAATGTTTTATTATGAATGTTCTTCACAGCATTTCTTAATTAAACCCAAGATATTTTCGGATTCTGATCTTATAATTCCTATAACACCAATAATCATGAAAATCTTTGTCTCATGGTCGATAACAGCACTATGTCACGTAATCGAGACCCTTAAAGAATTTTATTTGCTCGCTCATATTTAACTTTTTTGGCAGAACATTCTCTGATTTAAACGTTTGGCAGTGGAAAAGGAGAATTCAATGCAAAATCGTTAATGAATAACACATAACCGAAGTGGCGAGTAAGTTAATGAATTAAAGTTCATACAAATTCGGTTTGCGGCATTTTAGCGCCGAACGCTCTGGTCTACGACCGTTCTGGCGCAGCTGATTGTTTGATTTTCTTGTTTGTCGAAAAGTATGGTAACATGTTGTTCAAGATGACTGGTTACGGATTATTGTCGACTGCATAACTATTCGAAATTTGATTTGTTTTTGATGATGGCGGCAGTGAAGAGGAGTTATTTGTGTGAGATAGAATGGACAGAAGCTGTAGTTAAGAATTCCTTTTTGCTTTTTGCAAATGGTTTTGAACGGAGGTGGATGAAATGCTTTTGATTCAGCTCCTTTTTTCTCCTGTTTCATTTTCTAAATCTGTTGTGTCACACCGAACGACGTATCGTATGAGGTTTTCAGTCTTTATTTCATTTATCTCCTTATTTGTTTTGCTTTCATTGGCTTATTCCATCGTTTCGTTCTCAATAAATGCTACTGTTTTTTCCAGTTTCCTTTTTTCTCAACGTATTGGTTGCGTCATCAATCAATTTAGTTAATGAGCAGTTTTTTATTGTCCAGAGCATTGAACTCGAACTGTCTTGCGGAAACGAAATGCTGTGAAACTAAGGTGTCCCCATACCGAAAGAACGTCACAATGTCCCAATCTTGACCGTCTTGCGGAGTAAAAGTGGAAGAACTATGAATAAAAAGAGTACGCTTATTAACTGTCGAAAATTTCAAGTATTCTAACGGTGATTCGATTAATCAATGACTATTCAACTGGTAATAATTAGAATACTCAATTTGAGATCATTTACTTATTAATTGTTCGATTTTTTTTTCTTACGAATTCGTATCGAAAATCTGTGCAAATAGCGACTCTCTTTGTCGCAGTTCGTCGTTATACACTCACGACATAGCTGTCTGCATTGTTGTTCTGTCATTGTTACGACCATAAATTCTTTTTTCGCTTTTCAGTTTATCGTAATCATTGCGATAAAGTGATAGTATCGATTAAAACCACAAAACTTTATATGTTTAGTAATA